TAGTGGGATAACCCAAGCTCCTTAGAGTGCAGGTGGACAACTTTGATGGGGTCAAGGGGCCAAAATTTCTGCCTCCAGGAACCTTTGGCGACCCCGAATGGAGGAGGGCACTGGGAGTGTCTATCACTCTGTTTAGGGTTTTGAAAATGGACTCTTGGGGCTGCTGAAAAAGTTTAAGCGGGGCTCTGTGACCTTGTTTTGAAAAGTAAATTCCTCCTCCTCCCGGGAGGCTTCCCTCCAAAACCTGGCCCACGACTGCCTTCCAGGACAGGCTGGATGGAGGCAGGACGGTAGAAATTAGGAAAGCACACGGCGTGGGAAGTGGGGCTGTGGGTCCTTTCCTGAGATTTGAACCCAGGACAGCTCCATCACCCCTGCCTACACTGCTCTCTCTGCTGTGCCTTCTTGCTCGCCTCGCCTGGACCAGAAAGATGGGGCTATAAAACACCCCCGGTTGGCCAGCTGCCTTCCTGGTCTGGCCGGTTCCCTGGTGACCCTATGTTTTCTTGGGCTGAGCGTTCGCTCGTAGCCATTCATTTCTTCCCGGGCAGGCAAGCAGGGGCTGGGTTGCGGTCCATCCTCTTCTTTTCCGGGTGCAGGGCGTCCTGGGACGTCCGGTCCTCTCCGTCCCCCTGGGCTTCCAAGCCTTCTGATGCCTTGCCACACGGCAGGACTCCTCTGCGGCCGGCCGGCCCCACAAATCAAGGATCATTTGTTTTCAGCCTCCCGGCCTTTCTTCCTCCTCCTCTCGCTCGCTGACCTACGCTGGACATGATGCAGCGGCCCTCCCCCTTTTCNGCCCTTCCCCTACAAAGCAGAAAAATAGTAAAAGTTTTCCAGCAGCTCTTCATATCTTATCGGTCCTCTGGAAGCCGAGCGGGTTGGCTATCTCTCCGCCCTTCCCTCGCACTCTTCCTTCCGGCTGGTTTGTTCCTCGGTTGGGGAAGGATGACGCCTTGGTCACCAGAGCCCATGTTTTGCGAGCGGGTCGTGGGTTCGATCCGGAGCACCTCTAAGGAAGGGTGGGAAAAAGTCCTGCCCCACAGTTTGGGAACATCCTGGCCAGGATGGGGGGGTGGGTGGGGGAGATTCGCTTACAAGGCTGAATGCCGAAAACTCCCAAACGTTTCCTCCCCATTGCTGACCATCCATAACGGCGCAGGGATTTGAACGCAGGTCTTCTTGAACCCGACTCTGTCACTCCATCCACAACACCACGTGGATCCTTGGAATAAATTTAATTGCTTTGAATGCAGTGGAGTATTAAGAGGGTGTAATTGCCCCTTTTACAGGGAGGGATGCGACCTGCAAAGTAACTCCCAAACGTTTCCTCCCCATTGCTGACCATCCATAACGGCGCAGGGATTTGAACGCAGGTCTTCTTGAACCCGACTCTGTCACTCCATCCACAACACCACGTGGATCCTTGGAATAAATTTAATTGCTTTGAATGCAGTGGAGTATTAAGAGGGTGTAATTGCCCCTTTTACAGGGAGGGATGCGACCTGCAAAGTGTGGGAGTGTAAATTCAGCTGCTTGGCCCCAATTATTTTATATTGCACTAAATCCAAGGTTGGGTGGCTGGCGAGCTCAGTGGGTTGGCTGTCTAGCCGTGGAGTCAGAGGTTGGGAGTTCAATTCCCGGCTGTGGAAGAGAACCAGCCTGGGTGGCCTTGGGTCAGCTGCAAAGTCCCAGGGTGCCCCCTAGAGGAAGGGGAGGGGAAAACACCTCTAGGTACTCTGTATCTGGAAAATCCTGAAAAGGGGCGCCGTAAGTCAGAATTGACCGCACTCGATGATGATGATGAACCAAAGTTTCCCTAATGGGGTGTTTGACTAGAAGCAGGATTTGGAAATGAATCATCCCCTTTGTGAGAGGAGACCATCTTGGGTCCTTTTTGGTGGAAAAGGGGTATGTGTGTGTAAATATTTCAATAAATAAACAAATCAAATAAATAAAGGTAGATCGTAGGAATGGTTTCCAGAGCACGGCTTGCCTGTGGAGCCTCCTCATCATGATTTTTGGGGGAGGGATGCAGGAAGGACTAACCAGCCTTGGCTGAAAACTCTGGCGGTGTTTTTTGTCACCAACCTAGCAGAAGAGTTTTGCGGTGCCTTGCGGTCTTGGTTGTTTGATGTTGTGTTAGCTCCGGTTGAGTTGTGTGACCCACTCCGTTTGCTCTAAAAAGGGGGGCAAATGAGCAGAATAAGGCAAATGGATTTTTCCCCCACCTCCATTTCGTGCCTTATGCTCAGTCCTGTGTGTGCACATTCCAACCTGGTTCAGATTTTTGGGACTACAAGTTCCATCAGGCTGGCTCCTGTCTTGGCTGTCCTTCCATAAGCAGGGGAAGAAGAGCTTTCTCTTCCTGCAAACTTTCCCCTGCTTGAGTAGGGTTTTAAAATGGATAGTTGAGCCTTTCCTACTTTGAATCTGGTTTTTGGTATTGCTTTTGTTTACCATTTTTAGTGTGGCATTTGTCCGACTCTTTTTAATACTTGTATACCTGCTGTTTTCAGCTTTTAAATATTGCCTTTTAATGAGGTATGCCACCTTGGATCCTTTTAAAGGAGAAAGTTAGGAGTCAACATAGTTTGAATAAATAATAAATAAATAAATAGCAAGGGATGACGAAGGCTTATAGTAACAGCTGGATTGCACCAGATGGAGAAGAGGCTGCATTGGATCTGAAGGCCAACAGATTTGCGTTCGCTGACGTCCGCAGAGTGGATTTCTTTTAAGCGTTGTTTCCTTTTAAGACAAAGGGCTGCGTAAAAGACATTAAATCTTCTGCCTGTTTATCAAGCTGTTCCATTTTAAAGGGAAATGTCTCCATCTGCCTTGTTTGGGGGAGCTGTCGGTGGATGATTTCCGAGTGGGTTTTATGAAGGCTTCCATCCATCAGTTGTCACTTAAGAGTTGAGATTCAAGAACCTTAAAGGATGCAATAGATAATGTCAAGTCAATCTTTTGAATACTGTTTCTGCTGCTGATGTCTTTAAGGAAAACAAAATCTGGTGTAAGAGTTCAGCAAGCAGTGACTCTCCCTGTGTTTGATCGATCTGTTGCAGAGTTTTGAATTTCTAGTTAAAGTTCCCTTTGCTAGCAGTAGAAGTGCATGGATCCGCAGAGGAGAATAGTTACCAGTTTCCCAGATAGATCATCCCTTTTCCTCATTCACTGGCCCTTAAGATCTCAATAAATAAATAAATCAAATCAATAAAGGTGAATAAATAAACTCACTCTGAGACATACGTTAGGTGAAAGAATAAAAATGTTTCACTACTTACGGTTGTGAACAGATCAACAGCAAACTATCAAACATGCACGGCTTCCAACAGACTGAAGAGAGGGAAAGGGGACACTAAGCAGAGAGGCGGGTCTGTCTTTGAATTCAGAGGCAGGAAGGAATGATTGGTTAGTGCCGGATGGAGTGACAGTCACCCCTGCCCAGAAAGGTCCCTTCTGGCCAAACAGACTAAAGGCAGCATGCAAAGTTGCTAATAAAACTCCAACAAGAACTTCTGTTCCTTCTCCCTCATTCCTTTTTTTGGTCTCTATAAATTCACTTCCAAGGCAAAGGAGGTGGCAGTCCCAGCCCCCCAGAGGGTCTTGAGCAGAAGAAAGAGGTCTCTGGCCACAAAGGTGGGTCAGAGACCCTGTGAGCAGCTGTCACCTGGGAAGGAAGAAGGGCATAGGGTTGGTTATGTGTTCCACCCTGGCTGGACTGCTGTAATGTCCTCTATGTGGGGCTGCCTTTGGAGACTGTGTGGAAATTTCTGCGGGTCCAAAACACAGCAGTCAGATTGCCTCCAGTTAACGGCAGCTCCACTGGCTGCCAATGTGTTTTTTGGGCAGAGTTCGAAGGGTTGGTTCTGACTTATAAAGCCCTAAATGGCTTGGAGTCCCAGCGATCTCATGGACCGCGTCTCCCTTGATGAGCCTGTCTGAGTGTTAAGATCATCAGGAGAGGCGTTTGCCTCTGTCCAACCACCATCCTAGGTGTGTTTGGTGAGGACACTGGAGAGGGGGCCTTCTCTGTGGCTGCTCCCAGAGACTCTGGAACTCCCTGCCACTGGAGGCCAGCTTGGCCCCCTCTTGGCTGTCCTTCCGCAAGCAGGCCAAGACCTTTCTCTTCAGGCAGGCTTTCCCTGAGTGAGTGGCTGCCTGAGATAAGTTTTTAAATGGCGTGTTTGTTTCTATGCAAGGCGACTTACATCACTAAAACAATATTTAAAATCTAAAACAATAAGGATACGAACTGTATATTGTTGTGTCTTGCTTCTTTGAATGTGTTTTTTTGTTTACCCTTTTTTAGTGTGGCAACTGTATGCTTCTTTTCAGTATGTATATACTCCCTGTTTTTAGTTTTAACTATCGTCTTTTAACGATGTAAGCCGCCCTGGGTCCTTTTTAAGAAGACAGTTGGGATTCAACACATTAGTTCATTAATTATTAGTTAGTTAATGAATTACCCAAGCGGCCACCCTATGGTGTCCACCCGTCCCTTTTGAATTCAGACAGTCCTTGAACTCGCCATTCTTTGCTGTAATTTCCCTAAGTATTTATGATGTGGCTTTTCCCTTATGGGGGTGGTGGTACAAGGTGCCCTTTTCTTGACCTCTGGGAGAGCCGAGTGCAATTTCTGGCCTGCCGTTTGACCGCCCGGTTTCAGGCATGATGATGCCCGCGCTGTCCCCCTCCTCACCCAGGCGTGTGCCAGGGGTGACGGAGTCTCGTGCCGTGCCCAGCGCCTGGGGGCGCGTGTGTGAGTCATAGGGCGTTGCGTGCCGCGGGACGGGAGTGGGTGGCCGGAGGGACAGTGGGGCCCCTGTTCCAGCCTTCGGCACACTGCGTCCTTTGTGCGCCTCCCTCCGGAGCCCTTCGGGGTGGGCGGGCGAAGGGCAGCTCCCCGGGGTGGGTTTGCCGTTGCTCGACCGATGCCCGAGTGACCACTGACCACTCTCTTTTTTGCTTTGCCTCTTCCTCCCCGGTGGCAGCTGGAGGCCACGCTGGACCTGGCCGAGCGGCGGCGGATCCGGTCCGCCATCCGGGAACTCCGGCGGCAGGAGCTGGAACGGGACGAAGAGGCCACGCTGGCCTCCAAGCGCTTCCGGACCGAGAGGCAGGAGAACAAGGAGAACTTGCTGAGGTGGGTCCCGGTGCCCGCTGACCCCACCCTGGGCAAGGTCCACCCCCCACCCCGGTCTCCTCATTGCCCTCTTTTCTTGAATGGTGGAATTTCTTCTTCTGACTTTTAACCACGATCACGGCTTGCTTCTATTTGCGTGTCTCTCGTGCAAGGCCTCGGCGTTTGGAGGATCAAATGCTGAGTTTCATTCTTTATCGCTTGGATCTATAACCGACACCCCCAGACAGAGTTGGGATATAACTCTCAGCTGCTTTCTCTCACCTGGCTGCTGTCGAACGGATGGGAGTTGTAGTCTGTCAGCGTCAAGGAGGACTATTCTATGCCTGCCTCCTGCCCTGGTTATAGATTATAGCACGCCAGCTCCTTAAACTCCACCCTCCCTGTTTTTCTTCGTTTATCCATCACCCTTTTATAAGCCCACTCGTTCCCCAGGGAGCTCAAAACAGCTCTGTTTTTCTTTTCCCTTCTCTATTTTTATGGTCACAACAGTCCTCCTAGGTAGGTCAGGGGCAAAGAGAGAGAGAGAGAGAAAGAATATGTCTGTGGCCCAGGGCTCTGTGGGTTTCATAGCTCCATGAGGACTAGGACCTTGTCCTTCTGCGTGCCGGTCTTCCTTGCTACAGGATGCTGGCTTTTAAGAGCTTCTCTGTTCCTCTCAGACGCTCTGTGTCAGAAACGCCATGCCGAGGGTCCGGGAAATTGAGAAGAGCCCCCTCCTCTATTGCACGTGTTCTTCGTCCTGTTTTTCTCTCTTGGAGGTTGAGGGTCATCGTGGTTCTTCTGACCTGGCTCGTGGCTGTCTTAAGCCACGGTGCCATGCAGCATCCTTGGTGCTGTGAGTGACCCGCCCAGGATCGACATCCAAATATTACGGGTGGAGGAAACCGGTACCTGGATCTCCGGAGCCCTAGTCCTCAGCCCTACCCACTGCACGGCACTGTCCTGGGGGGTGTCATTGGGCAAGTACTGTCCCGAGAGGGGCTTCTTTCCTTTCCACACCTGATTTCCTGCCTTCCCGGCCTCTCGCCCTGTTTCCTGCAGGTCCCGGCGGCTGGAGGAGGAGGAGGAGCAGCAGCAGAAGGCCCTGGGTCTCCTCTCCGGGAAGCTTGAGGCGATCCAGGATGTGGAGGAGCTGACGGCCTTGGTGAGTCCTTAAAAGCATGCCCCCCTTGCCCTGCCCTGCCCTGCCCTGGTAGCTGCCAACCAGCCCTGGGGGTGTCAACCCAGCCTGGCTATCCAGCTCCTCCCAGATTTTTCACAAACAGTTTGCTAGTCAAGGAAGATCCTTTTAAAGGCAGGCGTTTTCTTAGTTAATCATTGTCATCATCATCATCATCCTATGCCATCAATTGGATTCTGACATGCTGTTTTCAAAGTAGAGAACACTCAAGAATGCTTTACCATTTCCTTCCTCTGGGGGCGCTGTGGGACTGTGTCCAGCTGGCCCAAGGCTACCCAGGCTGGCTCTTCTCCCGGGAGGCACATAGTGGGGGAATCAAACTCCCAGCCTCTGCCTCCACAGCCAGCGATCTTAGTTAGGTGCCCTCAAATTGCTTCGGTCGCATGGTGATGCTAATAGGGTTTTGAGGATTGTGAGGTGGTCAAGGAGCGGTTTTGCCACTCCGCTCCTCCCCAGTGAATGTCGGAGCACTCAAGAATGCTTTACCATTTCCTTCCTTATGTTCTTCTAATACTATCATTTATTGTGAGCTTTAACTTGTCTTGCCAAAGGAAAAGGGCAGGATCTGAAATAAACGAATAAAATGAAGTGCTTTAGTGAGCAATGAAGAGGTGCTAAGTTAGGTGCCCTCAAATTGCTTCGGTCGCATGGTGATGCTAATAGGGTTTTGAGGATTGTGAGGTGGTCAAGGAGCGGTTTTGCCACTCCGCTCCTCCCCAGTGAATGTCGGAGGCTGAGTAGAGATTTGAACCCAGATCTCCTGAATCCCAAACCCATCGCTCTTTCTGCTACCTCACAGTGGCTCCTAAATTATTTTCAGATTCATGCTCCTTTAGAGTTTGTTTTAATACATTTTGCTAATTATGTTTTTCTATCATTTATTGTGAGCTTTTTTGGAAACTCTCTTATATAGGTGTGTGTGTGTGATTTAACTTGTCTTGCCAAAGGAAAAGGACAGGATCTGAAATAAACGAATTAAATGAAGTGCTTTAGTGAGCAATGGAGAGGTGCTGACTTCTTTCCCCTTCTTCTAGCTGCGAGGGGCCAGTGAATATGAGGAGCGGAAGCTGATCCGAGCCGCCATCCGCAAACTGCGGGATGAAGAAATTAAAGGTATGAGACTTGGTAGCTTCAGGAGATGGGGTGTGTGTGTGTGTGTGTGTTTGTTTGTGTGTCTCTTTCAAACAAGATTTTCGATGCCTCCTCCATGCCTCTTCTCCTTTCTGTCTCCAGCTGCAAGCTTGGCTGGGAAAACGTATGACCATCGGAGGGACACCAAGGAGACCCTTGACTCGAAGGGACAGGAAGAAAAGTCCGTAGACAGAAGTGTCTCCGAGGTGAGCAAGGGAAACATCTTCCACCGTTGATCTTAATGGAAAAAGAGAAGGGCCTCTCTCTCTCTGTCTATCTATTTGATTTTTTCATACTGCTCATCTATGGCATGCCACTCCTCTGGCCAGTTTAGAACAGAAACATAAAGCCCACCCACCTGTCAACACTTAATCCGAAAAAACAATCCCAAGAAGAATCTCATCCATGGTTTGCAGTTTCATTTCCCAGAAGCCTCGGCCGGCTCACCCAATGGCCAGAGGGACCCTAGGATCATCTGGAGGGTCGCAATCAGCTTGCCCTTGTTTTAAGAGTTCCCGTTTGATCTGAGATGGATGGGACCCAGGGGACGATTCTGCCTGGAGGTCTGGGCGGTGGTGCTCATGTTTTCGGGGAGGAGGTGAGGAAGAATCCTGCTGAGTCAGACAAAAGGCGTCTGTAGCTTAGCTTCCTGTGTTGGCTGCCTGGAAGGAGGAGAAGCCCCTCCTTGTGCTCAGAACATTTGGGGAAGTTACTTTTTTGGAGTTGCGTTCCCAGAATCTCCTGGGCAGTTTTCAGAGCCATAGCCATAGCCAAAGATCCTCTTTTCAGAGGTAGACTGCCTCTTGACATGGAGGCTTAATTTAGCCATCCTATCCCATAGCTGTACAAATGTGTCTGATCCTCCTGGAGGTAACCTCTCCCATCCCAACACACAACGTGTGTGTGTGTGTATGTGTGTATGTGTGTATGTGTGTGTTTGTATCAAGTTTTGAGCTCCATTGGTCTCCTGGCCGGGCATGGTTAAAAAAGTAGAT